CCAGGTTGAATGCTAACGGCCAGTAACAAGCAATCTTCATTACACGCACACGATTCGTTACATTTTACCACCAGAAAGTAACATTCACAGTCACTGCGGGACAAAAAATTACAAACATTGTACGATGATTTCAATTAATCGTCTACAAAATCGTATAATTTGATAAAAAAAAAAAAGAAAAAAAAATTGTTACGTTGGATATAATAATTCTTACTTATTCGAGCATTGTTTGTTGTCACAGCTGCACTTTTTGATCTGAAAATCAGTTTGCGTCTCCTCGGAAGGGCCGACTTCGAACGGACCGATATCAGTGTCGGGTGTCCCGGCGGCGTTAAGGCCGTCATTTAATAAATCAGCAAGAGCTTTATTAAAATCAATTAGTGCAAGAGCTTCACGAGATTCTATCTCTTTTCGCAGCTGAACGACTTCCGTCTCGTTTTCCCGGTTGTTCCAGCAATTTCCGCAAGGACAAAATCCGCCGCAGAAAATCTGCTTCGATAGACATAAACACAATCTGCATGCAGGAGAACATAATATATTAATTACAAACATATATTATATATATACATATATATAAAATCATATCACTGATAAAGAATTAATGTTGGAAAATCTACTTACTCAGTTTTTGGGCATTGTTCCCCACAAAAGCAACGTTTGATAACAGCTCCTTCGCACGGTTCGTTATTTCGATCGTCCATGTTCGGCTGAATATCTAAATCTCCGGATTCGGTTAAAAAAAAAAGGGGGGCATGTGTCAAGATAATTCCGGAGCTCTCGGTCGATTTGAAATTATATTCGGATTTAAAAAAACATTAAGAAATAAAAATTAAATAATCCTTAAAAAATGCTACCATACCATAAACTTGAATCTTGAAGATGAAGATGAAGATAATAATCAAAAAATCAAAACTCAATTATATTCAAATTAAAGAATGGAAATCGGAAATTCGAGATACACGCGCATTAAAAAGGTATACACATATACACATACAAATACATGCAATTGATTGGTATTTATCAAGCTTGCAAGATTTGATAGCGATTAATTTTTTTAATGCATGAAAAGCTTGATTTCTGAAAGAGTTGTGAAGTGGTCTCTGCATGCATTTCTTAGTTTCTCTCTCTAGAAATTGCACGTACCTCAGTTTATCTTCTCTCTCTTCACGTCTTCTCTGATCGATCGCCTGGAGTTGGTTATCTGATTATCTTTTGTTCTGTTTTAATTTGCAGAAAGTAAATAAATAAATAAAAGATGGAAATATTTAAATATATAGTTGTGATATGGCGGGAAATAACAGTTTTTTGGGATCAATATGGTTATTTAGGCCCCACTAACTATTGGATGAGGGCCCATCTTTCCCTTTCCAAAAAAATATAAATTAAATTCTTTTGATTCTTTCTTAATTATTATTAATAATAATTATTATTAACAATAATAATAATAATAATAATAATAATAATAATAATAATAATAATAATAATAATAATAATAATAATAATAATAATAATAATAATAATAATAATAATAATAATAATAAT